TATGCATCCTCCTCCTTCTCCTCCTCCTCCTCCTGCTCCTCCTCCTTCTCCTCCTCCTCCTCATCATCCTCCTTCTCCTCCTTCTCCTCCGTCTCCTGGTCCTCCTCCTCCTCCTCCGCCGTCTCCTCGTCCTCCTCCTCTCCTCCTTATTCTTACGCATATTAGGAGAATTCTTATTCGTTGTAGTATTATTACTATAAGTAGTATTGGTAATACGAATGTGAACAGTAGTATTATTATATTTAGTTGTATGATGATGATTATTGTCATTACTAGTATTCGTATTCTTATTATTATTCGTAGCCGTCGTCGTATTATCCGTATTATTCGTAATCATCGTATTCGTCTTAGCCTTCTTCATCTTAGTAGTATTGTTCGTCTGATTCCTATTAGTATGATTCGAATTATTAGTCTTCTTCGTATTAGTCTTAGTATGCGTATTATTGTTAGTATCATTCATATTATGTTTCGGATTCGTCTTCTTATTATTCCTCGTCTTCTTCTTCTGCTTATTCCTCCTCCTCCTCCTCCTCCTCCTCCTTCTCCTCCTCCTCCTCCTCCTCCTCTTCCTCACTGGCACCCGAGGCCTGTTTTGCGCGCGGGCGGCCCCCGCCACTCGCAGGCTTCTAGCCTGCGCGACGGCTCGTGGAAGCACCCCCAGCGCGAGAGGGGAGCCGGCCTCTGTGCGGGCGGGCAAGCTCCTCCGAGCCATGCCTGGACGGAGGGCGGCGCCCTGTTGGCGAGCCACCCGCCGTCGACCGCGGCAGTGGCGCCGCAGGCTCCAGAGAAGCACAACGAGCACTGGCTCTCGTTGGCACTGGTGGCGCCGACGTAGACTGCCTCTGCAGACCCTCGGGAGCGGCCAAGAGGGGGGCGTCCAAGGGGGGGGGGTGCAAATCATGACCGGCGGCATGTGCGCGGCCCAGCGGGGGGGCCAGGGACGTAATCAAATAAGAAGAAGCGCCATGAAATCAGGGGAAATATCATGGCCCCCGCCATGACATCCACCCCCCCTAGTCAGCACCCCCCTCTTTTCCGTCCCCGAGACCCCTGAAGCGAGCGCCTGCAAAGGGGTCCTCAGGGGCCGGGCGGCGACACTGAAGCGCACGGCACTTCTGAAGCGGAGACGCGGGGATATCTTGGCGACAGACCTTGCAACGCCACCTCTCTGGGCTGCTAGAGCACGGGTACGCTTACACTGGGGACCAGACCCCATTTCACCGTCGAGGGTGGTTTGAACGGGGTCTACCTGCACAGAACACGAGAGGGTGCGTCTGGCGCACTGGCGGACAAGGAGGGCAATGCCGTCGTATTCTTCTGTCCTGGGGTTAGGGTTCCCCGTAAAATCCGCCCAAGACTTCTCGGCAGCATCGACCGCCCACTGGTCGGCGCACAGACTGCCTGAGGTGAAGAAGCCCTGCCACGATGACAGCACCTGTTCCGCGTCCTCTGCATGGGCGGCCGTCCACGAGATCTGGCCCCTCTCTCGCCTCGCCTACGCAGTGCCCGAGAGACCCTGCGCCACGTATCCCCATTGGGCCCAGGCCTCCCATGGGCACGGGCCGCTCTCCATCCGTCTAGGATGGGTCGGCGGCCAGTGACCGTCGGATCTGTGGCTCCCTCCAGGGCCAGGGCGATCGCAACTACCTCCGCGCGCGGCACAGTCAATCGCGCGGAGAGGAGACCACGCGAACCGGCCCCCAGAGGCCTTCCGAAGACACTCATCAAAGCGAAAACAGACCCGCATCGTCGTCGTCGACGAAGATCAAAGCTGAACCTGCCTTCCGAGCCGTCGCCAAAGAGTAGCAGAGGCAGTTGCCCACGCAGCAAGCGGAAGCCCGACAAACGCTGGGTGCCATTATTATGGGCGCACGGAGGGGTGGGTCGGGAAGGCTATCGGGATCTCTCAGCCACACGGGCGGATCCGATTCACACAGCGCCAAGGATTGCGGCACTAGTGCTCATCGGTGCGGGGGAAATCTGGATGTCCAAACGTGAAACCGCCACTGCCTAATCCTGCGCGCAAGTGTTCCAGGAGCCGAATGGCACCCCGGGCAAGCAACGCCAACCGCAGACCCGCGCCCTGCTGACGCTGTCCCCCAAGGCCACTGCCCCCCAAGGCCACGCAAATCTGCCTCTCTCTTCTTCTCAGAAGCCCGAAGTTCTTGCTGGGGAATGTGGAGGTCGGTTGTGTATCTTACATTGTCGTCTCCTGACACAGCCTGTAAAACAGTCGCACCTCGACTACGCGCGGGAACGCACTGGACGCCTTGGACATGCTGTGCCTGGACTATTTACGAGAACGAAGCCTGCAAGCTGCCGCGTCAATCCCAAGGTCGACGTCGATGTGAGGGCAGACAGCAAGGATTCCTCCAGCTCTGAAAATATGGATTACCTCTCCGCTTAGCTCGAGGAGCGTGGCCAAGACCCTGAACTAGTCGGAAACCGTTTCGCCTCAAACCCTCAAAAACGAACAACGGCCAGAAGCGACATGTCCGAGACAACGGCATGGCGTGTACCCTCTGAGCGGCCGGCAATTTTTACCATGCAGGAGCGTCCACAATGAGGCCAGTGGAGATGTCCTGTGAGCCACCTCTAGGATGGAATGAAAGCATACCTTTCCGAAAGGCACTCCGTGCGACGACCCAGCCACGATGGAGCGGCCAGACCAGAAGGGGTCGCTGCCGACGAAGCCATCGGTGAGGACGCGGGGAGGGACGAAGAGGGGCGCCTCAAGCAATACAACCACCCGTGGGCAGTTGCCTCTGCGCCGGCACGTCCAGCAGTCAGAACGACAGAGAATCGTAGAGCATGCGAGATTCAGGAGCGCCGTGCAGCTGTGAGTCCTAGGGTTACCCGCAGTGACGTCATCCATCAAGCTTCTGCTCAAACCAATTCTGAACGGTCTGCTTCATATGATAGCCGTGTCCTAGGAAGCAAGTACTCCTTCAGACGATTCAGCTGTGATAGGACTGTTGGCCGCGCTCTATGTCTTGCATACCTTGGGCAACATGCCCAGCACCCTGCTGCCACATGGTGGCCAACGAGGCCGACGGCCAAGTCAAGTCCAGCTTGACCAGGTTAAGAATCACTTTGAGCTCCCGCTGTCAATATGGCGGTATCCGCCAAAAGTCAACGGAGCCCAAACCGTCCACACCCCGAGCCTCATGCGGCTCCTCCCTCCTGGTGTCGCTGCCAATATGATCATCGTTGAGAAGGTGAGGAACTAGACGATACTTGGCCAGGCCTCCACGGCCCCAAAGAGATCTTGCTGGGAGCCAACCTCCTCGAGTCAGACAGTATCCAAAACCTTTTTTGTATCTTTGTGCGTATCAGCACGCATGAAGTATACACCTCCCACGCCAAGACTCCCAGGTGGAGAGGGTCAGGCGGCGGGTCTGTCGATGTATTGCGCCAGGCTTGCCTTTCCACTCATGCATAACCCCCGAAGACTTGGACGCTTGCCAGGACTTGACTCAAGGACAAGGCCTGAGCTCTGTCTAAACTCTGTCTGCCCATGCTGCCGTCTCCGGCGTGAGAAATGATGATGATGATGATGCTGCTGATGATGATGATGTTTACGATTATGATGATGATCAGAATGATGATGATGATGATGATGATGATGATGATGCTGATGATGATGATGATGGTCATGATGGTGATGATGATGATGATGATGGATGATGATGATGATGATGATGATGATGATGATGATGATGATGGTGGTGGTAACGATGCTGATAATTGAAATAAGTGCAGTCATAATGATGAGGATGATGCTGGTGATGATGATGCTGTTGATGATGAATATGATGATAATGCTGATGATGAGGATGATGATGATGATGGTGATGGTGGTCGTGGTAATGATGCTGATAATGGAAATAAGTGCATTTATGATGAGGAGGAGGATGCTGGTGATGATGATGATGATGCTGATGATGATGATGATGATGATGATGATGATGATGATGATGATGATGATGATGATTGTCTTAGTGTGTCTTGGAAACGCCCTGGGCGTTTCTTTATAATTTCCAGCTTTGGTGTCTTGTGAGCCAACAACGTGCACCTGGAGACGATTAAAAAAACGGGCCCAGCAAACTTTTAAAAAACGTTTCCGCGCGATCAAATGGAAATTATTTTAAAACGAGCCGGCGCAAGCTGGAAACTGGGAGGAAACGGCCCCCTGGAAACTATTTGAAAACTTGTTGGTGAACAAGCAGCACAAAACACGAGTGCCAAAAAATGAATACGGGGCGGGCGGCGCAGCGGGCATCAGCAGCAGCAAGCAGTAGCAGCAGGCAGTAGCAACAGGCAGTAGCAGCACCAGACAGCATAGGAGGAAGGTGGCGGCTGCAGCGGGCAGGAGGTGCAACGGAGAAGCTGTTTGGAGAGAGTGTCGAGCTCTTATCGTGCGCTACCTGCCAGTCGCTGTTCGACCCACTGGAATGGGGGGTTGGAAACGCGCTGAAAACGCATTGGAAACGTACTGGAAACGGTCTCAACGAGGCAACTTCGGCCCTTGGCCCAGGGGAAGCGGAAACGTTGAGGATGTCGCCGCCGCCGCTAATAAAACAGGGCTAGGATCGGGATACATCGCTCCAGAGCGTTCCGGAGCGCTCTCAGAGCGTTCCGGAACGCTCTGGAGCGGCCGCGGCGCCCAATACATCCTCCAAACCCGCCGATTCTCAAAGATTTCGAGTTATCTTGATCCGATTTTGTCCCGATCTTCGCGTCGTTTTAGAGGACGTCGCCGCCGCCGCCAGGGCCGCTGTTACGACGCCGACGCCGCCGTCGGGCCGCTGTTATGACACCGACGATGGCTCCGGCTCGGACGCGCACGGGATCGGGCAGCGGTCGACAGGCAACGCACAACAAGAGCTCAGAGGAGCCCTTTGGAGAGCGCGTGTCAAGCTCTTGTCGCGCGCTGCCCGTCAATACTGGATGCAGCACAGCACGTTTGCGAGGCAGACGCGGAAACGATGAAAAAACGG